GGCATGTGGTGCTGGGGGATTGAACCGCGGTCCCTGATGCCTTGCCAAGCTTGTTCCAAGTAGGTGCTTTAGACCACTGAGCCATCTCTCCAGCCCCATGGGTGCATATCTATTGCTGTGGTGTGATGTTTCTATCTGGAAAGATACCAGAAGGGGGATAGCTGGGTTGAATGGGACCTCTAGTCCTGGTTTTTTGAGGGAGGGCCTGCCCATTAGCTCAGGTGTTTAAGCGCCTGCGGAAACAAAGCAGTCAGGTTCAGGATGCTGTGGTTTGATCCCCTCATCCTCAAGCCAAACCAGATCTGCCCTGAAGGCATCCTGAGTGCCCCTCCTCCCAAAAAAAAATCCTCCTAATTTTTTGAGGAATCTCCACACTAATTTCTACAATGGAACCAGTTTAGATTCCCACCAACAATAGAAAAGAGTTCTTTTTTTCCCAGCAGCCCCTCCAGCATTTGTTATTGGTTGACTTCTTGATGATACCCATTCTTTCTGGGGTAAGATGGAATCTCAGTGTTGTTTTATTTTATTTTATTTTATTTTATTTTTTGGTTTTTTTTTTCAGTGTTGTTTTAATTTGTATCTCTTGAATGACCAATGATGTTGAGCATTCTTTCATATATTTATTTGCCATTTATAGTTCTTCATTTGAGAAGTATATACCATTTCAGATCCCATTCTTGGATTGTGTCTTTGAATTTGGGGGCCCTGATTTTTTAATTCTGTATACATTCTAGGATGCATTCTTAACTTGAATATTTTCACCTTAAGATGGCTTTATACTTTGTTTTTAAAGTCTTTGCCACAATATGACTTTTAATATATCTTTTGTCATGACTACTCTTGGATTTTTATAATCTATATGAATTTAAGAATTGTTTTGAATGATTTCACAAAAGGTCCTGTGAAGATGTTGATTGAACAGTGAATTGTGAATTTAATATTTGGCAAACTGTCTTTGATATTGAGTCATTCCTTCTTAATTGTTTTATCTCTTCATCCATTTGTCTAGACATCAGTGAATTTTAGTGAAGTTACCAAGTTGTGTGACCATTACTGTGTCAGTTTAGGGCATTTTCATCCAGTTGACTTTTGTGTCCTTCCATAATGTCATTTTTATTGATGAAGATCATTTTAAAATTTTCTTTTTAAAGATTTATAATTGAATAGCTTGTGGTTTTTGTTATTGCATTGAATGGTTACTTTCATATTTTCTAAGGTGAGTTATTTCTAGCATATAGAAGTGCTTTTGATTTTAATATACCCAGCAGTTAACCTTGCTGAACTGTGTTAATTCTAATAATATATCTGTGGGAATTCTCATGTTTTCTACCCAGGTAATTCTATCATCTCCATGTAATTTTTTTCCTGTCTTTTCAATTCCTGTATTTATGAGTTTTCTTATAGTTTAGCTAGAATCTCAATTACAAGTTTGAATAAGTGTCATTCAAAAGGATTTTTAAAATTTATAATTGGGTATAAATCTCTTTATAAAGGAGATGAATATTGACCTCCTTATACTAAGTTAAGAGCATTTCTTATATTCCAGTTTTGTTAAGGATATTTACTTTGCTTTGGTTTCAATGGTGGCGATTATCTAGTTCTTAACCTCTTTCTTAGACTGTCTCTCTTGGGTATAGGTCAGGCCTCCTTACTGAGTCCTGTATCAGTAGTTGAAGTTTTTCTAGTCTTGTTTTATAAATGCAGTAGTTCCTCCTAACTTGAAGCATTACACAATTAGCTGATTGTGTAGTTCCTAATCTTTGACAGTAGCTTCCACTCAGCTATTGATGTTGAGCTTTTTATGTGTTTCTGGTATCTGGAGATTTCCTGTGGTTGACTTTAAAATTGTATATAAATTTAAAATTAATTTTTCTATAATTCTCATGGTTTTTGGAGTAGAAGAGGAAAAGGGGACTATTTTCCTGCATTAGCCCAATGAACCGAATAGAATGAATATCTGTCAGTTCTTTAAATCCAAAATAGCACATATCAAAATTACTTATAATTTGGCTCATTCAGGTTCTCTATGCCAGCACTGCCCAGTAGGGCTGTCTATACTGATGAAAATAGTCTGTGTATGCTGTCTGAGGAAAGTAGTTCATACAGCTGCTGAGCGTATGAAAGTGTGGCAAAGGTGACCAAGGGACTGAGTTTTAAATTTTATTTAATTTTAATTAATATCTAAATGCTTGTATGTGACCAAAGGTTGCTAATTTAGTGCAGCTTTATATTAAATATAGAGAGGAGAAAACCGATAAGCAGTTTCAAAAGATTATTTGGTGAGATGTTACTATACAGAGAGTCTTTGGCATATAATTTGTGTATGTTGTAATGACATAAGACCATTGGACAGATTCTGGCTTTGTGTCCTACATCAACTGGTGTCTAATACTTTGTATCTGAAATGTGGGTGTCTTTTGTTGGAGTAGGGTCTGTGTGTGTCTATGTCTCTATTCCACCCAGTAACTTCTTTCCACAGTTTCTAGGGAACTACAGATCAGAGGGCAGTAGGAGTCCTTGTGAACATGAAATTCAGGTTGAGCTTTGGTGGCTCTTGGGCTTCTTGGAAATACTTTAAGAATCACTTAGTGGATCAAAACTATGCCGCATTATACTGGACTTTGTAGGGAGGTTAATACTGGCAATGAGCTGCAACAGAGCGACAGTGATTTGTATTTTTATGTTCTAGTCCATTGTTCTCTCAAAGGAAAAACAAAGGGAAAGAAAGACAGTAAAAGTTTGTAACAGGACTATTAAGCTGAAAAAGATATCTGAGGATTTGTATTAAATCTCACATTTTGTAGGTGAAGAAACTTATTGGTGTATATATAACATGACTTTTTCTAATATGCACAAAAATAACTTCTCTGTGTATACTTATCATTTAATGTCTGCTTGAATTGCCAATTCATGTAATAATAGAGCTGGTACCGGGATCTGGTTCTTCTAACTTTCAGGCTGTGAATTTTTTTTTTTTTTTATTATGTGCTGTATTTTGTTGTGTGTACCCAGATTCTTCATTTTAGAGAAACCAAAGATGTTTGTTAAAGTACAACTGTGTACATAGACATTGGTAACAGAGGTTTAGTATATGGCCCTAGAGCTATATAAGACTTAATTTTTTCAAATTAAAGGTTGAATTATTGAACAATAATGAATAATTAGCATTGTATATAGATTGGTATTGAAAACCTAAAGTATTTATAAGTCATATAATGGCTCTCTGATATTTCTTACAAAAGTTTCCTAGGAAAAGTAGCACATATAATGTGATTTTTAGAAAAAGTGAGTATATTTTAAACATTGCAACTGCAGTTTCTGTTTTGTTTCTTTTAGCTTCTTGCCAGAAACCATATGTTGCCCTTCTTGATGGAATTACAATGGGAGGGGTAAGTAGACACTTCACTTTCTTCATGGACATGAATGAGCTATAGTAAGATGAAGTTAATAATTAGTAAATAAAGTGAGATGATATAGTAGAACAGTAATAATACAGTAGAACTCAGTGAAACAGGATGTGTGTGGACTTTGTATCCTGCCAGATTTGTGCTGTATTTTCTTCTAGCACTTCTAGACTGTGGCAACTCAAAATAACACTGCATATTCCTAATTATGTTACATACTAGTTTAACTTTGAAATTAGCATACTTTTCTTCTTTTTTTCTTTTTGTCTTTTGGAGAAAGGTCATGTTATGCAGTTCATGCTAGCCTTGAGTTCACTTTGTAGCTCAGGCTGCTGACCTCAAAATCACCATCATCCTCCCGCCTCAGCCTGCCAAGTGCTGGGATAGGTGTGCACCACCATGCTTGGCTCACGAACTTTCAAGCAATAGAGACTAGGTACAGTTTTTGTTTATATAAACTTTTTTTTTCTATTTATAAATTTAACTGCTTACTTCAGACAGCTTCAGAAGAGCAACTTGAATATTTAGGGCTTTTCTTAGACTCAGTAGTGAAACTGTTGCCTACATTATATCCACTTAGTGGAAGTTCTTATGATCTTTATGACATCTCTAAAGTGGTATTCCTGTTGGCCAACAAATATTTTGCCTCTGTGTTACTATGCATAAGTCTAAAATGTAACGGACCTTGAAGAACTTCATACCGAGTGAGAAAAAAACGTAAGTTATAGAACAAGTGGAAAATGGCATAGCCCTGACTTCCTCAGGAAGCCCTGACTTCCTCACTGCAGGAGCGTGAGGAAGCAGGGGCCAGAATGGATCTTACGGCAGAAAAGGAGCTGCGTGGAAGGTACGGTGAACTGACCTGAGCCTAGACGGCTATTATGAGGAGAAGCAGCAACACTTCTCGCCCCTCCCGAGAGTCACGGCCGACAGCCGTAGGACAGGAGAGCGAAGCGTAGCAGATCTGTGCACTTAGGTTCGACATGACACCGGAAGCTTCTGATTGAACACTTGAAGATCAGAGGAGACTTCATGCTCAGTTTCAATGCCAAATGGTGGCTGAGTAGACATAGGATTGGATACAGGGTGCAGCCGCATCTCCCCTGAACACACCAGGACAAAGGGATGCCAACAGCAAGGCCAATAAGTACTGGACAGAACTGAGCAAGACCTTTGTGTTCAGGTACTTCTTGGCCTTGCTGTTGGCATCCCTTTGTCCTGGCTCTGCCGTTCACAGAAGGCATAGTGAGGTGTGTTTAGGGGAGATGGGGTCGGGAGTCCCTTTATTGCTTGCTTGCCCTCAGAAAATGAGGCAAAAGTTGGAGATTATTTCATAGACAGCTGGGTCTAGAGAGATTCAGTATGGGAGAATAAATTATTAACGTTACAGCTAGTGCTTGCAGTTCTAGGGATAGAGATCCCATAGTGAATGAATGAAGCCAGGCCAACGTGCAGATGGAGTGGAATAGAAGCACAGGATTAGATTACGTTTTGTGAGTTTTAAGGGGATTGCAAGTAGCCTATCCTTTGACATAAGATGGGAAGATCATGAGTCTGACAAGGTTCTACACCTGCTTCAACACGGACTCGCATTTAGGATCCTAGGGTTTCCAAGTCATGTGGTTTGGATATTCCCCAGCTCATCTTTATGAAGACTATTCAGGGAACTCTTAATGGCATTTGTGTCCATGGTCTCTTGTTCTGAAAGTTTTTTGTTAAAATCTCAAGGTGTTTTATTTCATTATTTTATCAGCTGAGGCTAAAGTAGAGAACTGAGCCTGGGAATACAGGATCTCTAGTTTCTACATGAGACTGTGGGGTGGGGCTCTAACTTTTTCTTCTGTGGAGTTCAGCAGGGGCAAGAAGCTGGTCGCTGACTTTGGAAGGGAATGCAGTTTCTGGCAGATGTGTTGGGGATGGCTCATCTGACTGGGAAGTCACAGAATTTCATTGCAGTAAATACATGTTGGAAGCCAAAGGAGGAAAGTGGCTTATGGTTTGTGAAGCCGAAGCACAGATGTAGCTTGGTTCTGATTAAACACTGGAGAAGAAACTTTTTTAATTGAAAAGAACAGAGAGATCCACCAAAGAGAACAGGGCAGGTAGCCAGGTATAGGGCTCCAATGGGAATTCAAAGACAAAACATGTGCCTCGACTTCTGGCAAGCTGGACTGTAGCCATGGCTGCTGGCCTATTTCAGCGGCGTGTTTGCTGTTTCTCTCCCTTCGACCATCTCTGCTTCTGTGCATGTTTGTTTTGTTCTCTGTGTTGTAATAAGCTACAGCCTTCTCAGGTTCTAGATGTCTGCCCCAGCTTTTACATGGCTCCATGTGTTCAACTGAAATTTCAAATGACCTTTAAGCTGCATTGCCTGTCATCAACCAATGGCTGCCCACTGTGTTTTAGTTTAAATAGCTAAATGTAGGAACGTTGCCTAGCTCCCCTCCCCCTTGCTCCCTATGCCTCCAAAAGTCTGGTTTGCCTCAGGGGGCTGTCTTTGGGTACGTTGTCATCCACCCTTGAAGGTTCCTTGGCAGTGCAAATTCTGCTACAGAAATGGCAGTGATTGGCAGGTGGTGGCGTTCTGTTGTGAATTTTCCTTACTTTAAAATTATGCAAGCCATTGAAGTTGTACAAGCTTACAATGTGGAGGAATAGCACGAAGCCAGTGGCTGGTGAAACACACAGGAAGTGAATGTGAGAGATGGCTGGGTCAGGTTATATGTAGCCTTACAGGCTATGGAGTAGAGCTTGGAAAACAAAAGCAAAACAAGGAAGTGCGTGTGTGTGTGCGTGTGTGTGTGTGTGTGTGTGTGTGTGAGAGAGAGAGAGAGAGAGAGAGAGAGAGAGAGAGAAGCTCCATTCCATACAGTGTAGTATATTATAATAAAATATTCACATACTGTACATTATCATATAATTGTGTCAGACAGATTTGCACATTTGTTTAAGTGTAAGATACAGGGGGAGGTCTGAGTGCTGCTGACCAAGGTGATAAAAGTTCTGTGTCTTCTGGAGAGAAAATGACAAACTAAGGGTTCAGAATTGTGGGCAGGCTTCACCTTTATATGTTAATCAAGAGTAAAATGTTGTGGCTGGGGAGATGGCTCCGAGGTCTAAGCTCCTGCCTGGCAAGCACAAGGACCCAGGCTCGTGGTGGTACACACCTGTAATCCCAGCGCTGGGGAGACTGAGACAGGAAGATCACTAGGAGTCTGAACTGTGTACTGAGACCCTGTATGAAATAGGTAAATAAATAAAAGATTTTTAAAAAATAATAATAAAAAAGTATAATCTTGCGCAGCTTCTGGAATTCAAAGTTAACTGGAGGAGGAGGGGTGGTGACTAGACAGCGAGTGCTGGGGCAGGCTAGGCTCAATAGAAACTCACTGTTACTCCCTCCCCCACCTTCTATGTGTTTGGTTTATGGTCTCACTGTGCAGCTCGGACTTGTACTGATCCTCCTGTTGTCAGTCTCCCCAGTACTGGGATTACAGGCAGGCGCCACTGCGCCTGAGGTGGGGCTGCAAGTATTGCTGGGATCAAACCCTGGTCCCTGCGCTTGCCTAAGCAGGTGCTTAGCCCACTGGTAAACCCTTTCTTTTATAGTTCTTAAAACACATTTCTGAATAGTTATAAACTTTGTGATGATATGATTTTAAAATATAGAAACTATTAATACAGTGTTTTATTTTTATGAGAATTGTAAGGTTTCACTGTAGTCTTGAAGTACATACAATCTAGTTTGTGTTAATATTGTCAATTGACAATGTCCTAATACAGTTCCTATAATATAAATATATTTGTCTACATAGGGTGGATGTACGGTTGTGGATATAGTTTATAAATGTTGACAACAAAGGATGTAGGTAGTGACTAAAGGATCTTACTCATTTCTAAGTTTTATTTACTTTTTAGAATGTATGTAGTAAGGTTCTACAGGGTCTCACTACGCAGATCTGACTCGTAGTGCTCCTTCAGTTTTCAGCCTCCCAAATGCTGGGATTACAGGTAAACCACCATGCCCATCTCATTCACTATCAGTGTGTCCCAGGAGCGGGGCTGGCACAGCACACGGGAATCGGAATTTTAGGTTTAGCACACAGTACATAAAGTTTATAGTAAATTGTATGTTTCTAAGTTTTAATGAAATGCTTAAAAGTTTTAAGAATTTATAAGCAACTGAAATGTGAAAACTTTTGACAAAGTTGAAGACATTTTCATGAAAAATTAAAAGAATCAGAAATGAAAGCGTAAGGGTGCACTAAAGCGACTGCTTAGGAAGGCTTAGGGACCGGGGTTTGATCCTGGCTTGCTGTGCCAGCCCCACCCCTGGGGCAAGCAGAGTTGGCAGCTGAGACTGGGTGTGGTGGTGCGAGCCTGTAATCCCAGCGCTTGGGAGGCTGACAACAGGAGGATCACTTGAGTTCGATCTGTGTAGTGAGACCCTCTAGGCCCTGTACTAAATACATAAAAAGAAAGAAAAAGCACTAATAATGAAAGGAACTAAAATGGTAATTTTGGAATACTGTGAAAAGCAGATGTGACAGTGATAGCAATCGGGGTAAGTTGGGTCTTTGTTGTCTCATATACTCCCGCTTCAGATATGTGCAGTGTTGAGAGCAACTGGGATTAGCCATTTTCAGTGATGTTCAACAAGTTTGAGTTGTCTTTCAGGAATCAGGAATCAGTTTTTAAGAGTTTTGTAATTGGCCTCCTTGAATGTTGTATCTGGAAGAATGATGTGGCTGATTTTATTTGATAAAATATGTACATAAATAAAATACATTAAATTTTTATTTTCAAAATTATTGGAATTTGCTAGGAAGCTTGGTTGTTCTGATTATTGGCATGAGTAACAAGCAACCCCCGTGGTTCTCAGAGCAATCCGTATTTTATGCTGCGTCACTTTTGAAGTGAAAGGAATTGGGAACAAGACCCGAAGCCTCACTGAGAGCCCTGATGGAATCCTGTGGTTGCATCAGTTTTGAGTATCAGGGGTTTGCTCATATTTCATCTGAAATAGTATGCTTTAGGGCTTTTATGCTCTGAAACAAATTCCCATGGGGTATAAGGATTTAACTGCTTTGTAATATTTATATGTTTGTGTTTTAATTTTTATAATATTTTAAAACCAAATGTTTTTCTCATTTCCTTAGGGAGTTGGTGTCTCAGTTCATGGACAATTCCGAGTGGCTACGGAAAAGTGTCTCTTTGCAATGCCAGAAACGAGAATAGGTAAAAAGCCAAAAGCTCTCCATCCTGTTAGAGTCCTCTTTCAGTAATACATTTCAGGCTGTGCTGTTATGGAAGGGCTTGGGGGGCCCGTGTGCGTGTGAGCTGCAGTAATGAGAAGACTCGTGGGGACAAGAAGGTGCCAGAAGTTGACGTTAGTTCAATAATTATGTTAAACATAAAAGCAAGAGTATTTAACTGGGATGAAAATATGCTGCAGTTAATTTTAGATAAAAGGTCATTAAGGAAAATACTCTTGCATTTAGAGCTACAATCCATTTAGAGGTAATTTTCACATATGACATGACATATGCATAAAGTTTGTGAATCTGTATGGGGAAATACAGTCATTCCAGCACCATTTTTTTCTGTAGCAGTGTAGATATCTTTTTTTTATTTTTTATTTTTTATTAGAGAGAGAGAGAGAGAGAGAGAGAGAGAGAGAGAGAGAG